CTGCACAGTGGTATGCGCGCGCGGGTGCAGCTGAGTGGAGAGACCTCGGATGACTTTGCAGTTGTCTCTGGTGTGAAGCAAGGCTGTGTGTTAGCTCCTGCCCTGTTTAATATCTATCTTCATGCAATGTTGTCTTGTGCTTTTGATGCCGCTTGTGCTTACGGTGTTCGTGTGGAGCACCGTATTGATGCTGGGCTGCTGAACATCCGTCGTTTCGGTGCGAGAACTCTAGTCTGTGAGACAACTATCCGTATGTTGCTGTTTGCTGACGACTGTGCGTTGTTTGCACACAGCGCGGATGAGTTGCAGCACATGACTAGTGCTCTGGCTTCGACAGCGGCCAAATTCGGGCTCACCATCAACACAAGCAAAACTGTCTGTCTCTTCCAGCCTTCACCGGAGGTGCAATCTTCAATATTGCCGCAAATCAGCATTGGTGCAGAAGTATTGGAAACCACCTCCCGCTTCTGCTACCTTGGGAGTGTGATGTCGACTGATCAGCAGCTACACGTTGAGTTGCGTAATCGCGTGTCGAAGGCGGCAGCGGCATTCGGGAAGCTTGAGTACCGAGTGTGGAACAACCACCAGCTTAGCATTGGCACGAAGCTGATGGTGTACAAATCCATGGTACTGTCCGTTCTTCTATACGGCAGTGAAACGTGGACGATGTCCCCCTTCGGGATGTGCGATATCTCGAGCGGTTCCATCAGCAGTGTCTGCGATGAAGTTTGCGCCAGAGTTGCAGACACGGAAGTGTTGCGCCGAAGCGGGATGTATGCAGTGGACTGCATACTTTTACTGCGACACCTGAGATGGCTCGGTCATGTGAGCCGTATGGATTCGACGCGAATACCGAAACAACTTTTATACGGTCAGCTGAGTATAGGGAAGCGGCATGCTGGGAAACCAAAGTTACGTTACCAGGACATGATTAAAGTGAGCCTCACACGTTCTAATCTTGGTTGCAGATCATGGGAATCGAAGGCGGTTGATCGTGGTGCATGGCGCGATCTAATCACGAAGGCAGTTGCTGAAGTGCGGGAGAAAGCCCTCATGCATGCAGAGAAGAAGCGGCAGTTGCGGAAGCGGCAAGCACCAATGAATGGTACTCCATCGACATCGAGCGCATTGTGCTGTAGAACATGCGGTCGCGAGTGCCTTAGTCAGGCAGGCCTAGTGAGCCATGAGAGAGGTCACGCGGGACCACTGCCGAAGCGACGACGGGTCCAGCAGTGAACGTAGGCAGCACCGGCTCAGCGTTTGTAGGCACGCTGAATTCGATTTACTAACCGCATGCTTGCATGCTAAGTCTCTTTATTTCAGGTGGTGGGTTTTCGGTTCTCTCCTAATGCCTTTCTTTCTCATATAAATGTCTAGTGGGCCATGAGCTGTGCCATTTGGGGACACTACAGAAGCGACGACGGGTCCTGCAGAGAATTACGGCGAGCCGGCGCAGCGTTTGTAGGCACGCTGAATTCGATTTACTAACCGCGTGCTTGCATGCTAAGTCTCTTTCTTTCAGGTGGTGGGTTTTCAATTTTGTCCCAATGCTTTTCTTTCTCATATAAATATCTCCCTGTACTCTATTCCATTAACTTGCACACATCGCTTCATCTAATTGTATTCGATTTCCGTAGAATATTTGTGTTCGTGGCATTCCGTGAACTATACTTCCTGACCTCGTGCACTTAGCTAGGATCTGTTTGTAAACAACTTAGTACATATGCTACTTACTTAAGTTTTATATCACCGTTTCCTTATGCATTAATCGAGTTTTTCTCTTTTTCTTTCTCTCTCTCTCTCTCAAGTGTTTGGCTGTTGTTTGATATCCCCGGTGTGGCTGCGCTTGATGTGCATGTTGACAAGGTGCCTACCTGTCTATTACCCACTACCTCCTCCATACTGGCTCCAGGAGACAGTTGGTCGTTGCTGGAGGGGACGGGGTGCACGGTCCTTGTGGCCGTGTTAGGATCAAAGAGTGGTTCCATGCACTCAGTGTGGAGCGGACTACGGTCAAGCCACCGCCTTGTGTGCGCTTGATTCCCAAATACAGTGTGCTTGTGTTTGCCTGTGAAGGAGTGTGGGCCGGCTCCGTTGATGAAACGTGGTTCCCATCCACATGCCTCCCGGTCTTATTCCTTCGGGTTTACACTGGATAAGGGGGGTGTGGTTGGAGCTGTGGGTGGTGCAGCGCAAGCCATCCATGGTCCCTCTGTAGGCGCAGGCGTCCTGTGGCTTGCCACAGTGACAGGCAAATCCGAAACCGGATGCCGCCAACCATATATATATATATATATATATATATATATATATATATATATATATATATATATATATATATATATATAAATATAATTTCTGGATTGTTCCTCATTTTGGAGTACTGGCGTCGACTCTGACCATGCCTTGGTATGCCGATGTCCCTACATGAAAGTTACCGGGAGGCGTACCAAACGCCTCCCTCGACTGGCAAGTGATAAGTTATCGCGGTCTTCAGTCAGGCAATCCTAGCAAGATGACCTGGGTACCGAACGTTCACTTTCTTGTCCTAGTGACACTGAGCTTCTGTGGAATAGGATCTCGACCGCCAAACATGACGCAGGAGCCTCTGCCTGCGGTTCTATCAATGGTCACCGCATCAGTAACTGAATATCCGAGAGTTCGGTGAACCTGGTGGAATCCAGAAGAAAACACCCAGCTCGCTCTGAGCAAAATATTACGAGGCAGACTATTAGGTGTGAACCAAAGCGGAGTCCGTGTGTTGACAAGGAAGCTCGGTGAACCAGTTGGGCACAAGAAATGGAGGAAGCAGGAGCAGTAGGCAATTATCGCAAAGGCTCCTAAATTATCCGCACCACTGGTCCCAGCATACCAGACGTCAGCCAAACAATCAGAGACAGTGCGGTGTCCTGATTCACAATAAGGAGCGTCGTATCGATCGTTGGAGGGCGCAATTTCAAGATCAGTTCAGTTGTCCCTCTGCTTATGGACTTCTTCCTACCCTAGTCTCTTGCGCCGGTCTTCATATGGCACACCTAATAAACCGTGGATGAGCCTTGTGGCAACATACTAATGATGATAATGACAGCAAAACAATCACAGTGTTCGTGAGCCAGTTGCGCGATGTAATTCTAGTAAATTAGTCTGCCGATTCTAGCCCAATGCGACGCATCAATTGCACAAAGTAAAAATAATTCAGTAGCCCTCGGTATTGCTAACACAGACATAGTACACTATTGCACAAGACCACCAATCACTTCGTAGCCCCAGGAAAAGTTGATAAACCCATCCAGTCAGCCAGTCACCCTATCCGCTTGGGGAGTATGACTACTGAAATTGGCACTCACTGGAGAAAAATTACAACTACCGACGTGAACCTGAGACAAATATGGCGTCATCAAGGATTACCCCTAGATATTATACAACGGTGGTGACCATTCGCATCTTCGACGACGGGTCGAGGTTCTTCTGACATCGATGAACTAGGCCGTCCTCAATTATTTAACCACCGCTGGCTGTGGAGTATTGCTGGTGTCGGGTTGTACCAACGTGACCACAACAATAAATGACGTAAACGGATATCAGGGTATGACTATCAAGTAGCTGTTTACGGCCAGCAAGTATGATTCAGTAAAGTTGCGAGTAGGGATGTGTCCTATATGTCCACTCACTGTTTACTGAAGAGGGTATGGTTTTGTTTGCCATAGATGAGATAGTGCGACTCGAGGGGACAATCACCGACCGAGCAGCGAGAAGTGGCGTTTCCGGTTACTTAGTTGAGTGCTAATGATTCGTCTCATCTACTCGAATGGAATCCGCGCGATTCATATTGTACATAATTACAAGACAGGGCGAGCAGCCTGCTGCAATGGAGCGTTTGCTGTCATCTCCTGGTTGGACTACTCGTTGTCTGTGCGGCGTTGAAAGCCGAAAGGACGCTAACTCGTCGGTGGCGTCTTATCCCAAAACGATAGCCAACTGTTTGATCTGACATAGGTGTCTTGGTTTTGAATGTGTGCTTCAAGCGTCTTGGTCGTCAGATGAGATGCTCTATCTTATGTTGCTATGGTCATTGTGGCTGCGTAGCAGTACAACATCAGTAAAACTAGGGATGCACTGTGTTGTTGTTGAGGCTATTACCATCGGTCGCCGTTCCGAATAAAATTAGCTTGGTTGTGCCCCATGATACACATGGTATTCTTGTGGCACCGAGAAATGCACTCATCCAACAGCAGTTAGCTTGCCAACAAAGCACTCGAATGTTTAGACAGACGAATCTTTCTCGAACAAACTGAATGTCCGATATTTAGGCATCCAGTACTACACGTTCCCAAGTCAAATAATCTAAGGACCAATCATTCTGTTCACTTGTTTGAGATATTTTCTCATTCCCACTGTGCCATAATTAGGCAGTGGCATAGTAACGTGAGCCACAGTGAGTGAATTTGCCGTGGCTTGATGCTCGCGGCAAAGTCGATCAAGAGCGAAGATGAATAGCCGTAGCCAAAACTCAGTGATGGGATCATGAGTTAGCGAGAGAAAAGGGGGACGATTGGAAAATCAAGAATAGGTCATGAGAGCGATGAGGAAAAAGAATGGTGTTGTGATTTCTGCTGACGATACGAATAAACTACTGCTATTGCCCAATCTGAACTGGCCGACTTCCTAAATCAGATGGCAAAGATCTTTGGATTTCGGCACAGTAATAAACCAGCGTGCATGCATCCGAATCTAGTAAACACCAGATGATTGATAATCCACAAAATAGGACAACGCACTACCGTGGATACTAAGAATAGCACGGCCGAGAATGCGGTCAACTAAGCAGGAAGAGAGTGAAGGCCAGAGTGATTCTTATGCACGAAGTGTGATGTAGCACGAACGTGGGAAGAGGGTGTTATAAAATAGATAATTTGGTGAGATAGAGCAGAGATACATCACAAAACTCCGACACAAGCGTTGCGTAGGTTAGGCGAAGTGTCGAAGCGCGACTGACTTACCAAATCCACATTTGCACGTGTCTTGGCGGATGTTTCAATGTGAGGTATGCCATGCTGTCGCGCGAAATCGGCCCCGGCATCGGTGTAACAAGCGGAGGAAGTGTCCTTTAGATCAATTTTGTTCGCCACAAGCACCATAGGCACTTTGTCAGTTTTTTTCGCGCGATAAACTTGATCACTGTTATGAGGAAGATAAGTAAAGCGCAAAACAACGTTGAGGCTAGAACTCCCAAAAATATAACCAAGTATCTAAGCTACGATAGACTGATTGGAGATCGAAGGAGACAAAAGGACCGATGAATGCATTGAAGGGATAGTTGTGTTCCGCCAGTAAAAAGCGAGAATATGATTGAAAATGGCTAATGCACGTTCCCTTATTCCTTTGTGAATTAACGTTAACTAGAGGAATTGTGAAAGGAATCGATGATCAGCCGCAGACAAATTCTGCTGAATGTATATGCGTTTTGCGATGTTATGCATTAGCGGTGAGAGCACGCTTGATTAGGTCCTCGGACATTTAATCGCATATCGTGTGAAAATGTGCAAATTCTGTTACACTGTAGTGGCATCCCTAGAAGAGGTCAAAGGTAGCAAGGTAGGTTCACTGGATCATCACAAGTAACCGAAGCAGATAAACGAAACATGATTTGCGTTCTGGCTATTTTCGGTAATTCGCCACCAGTATAATCGATGAAGAGAATCGGCAATAGCAAGGGCGGAAAGAGAACTCGTTTCGGAACCGGCATTAATGCAAATGAAGCCAAGAGAACATAAAAGGAACGAAACATACCGGAAATCAGGTAACGCTCTCAGACCTTCCATATCATCAACTGCGTAGACAAGCAAGAAACCCTCGCCGCTTCGGAAGTAATTTTCACGGATACTAATGTAATCTTCTTGGCCTGAAATCAACAAAGGGGGAAAGTAGAAGCCGGTGAAATAGGCACCCGGAAGCGCACATTTGTCGATTAAAGCAGACGGGCCCATTGAATGCACTTGAAACTAAGTTAGAGAACAAGTTCGTAAAGGTATTCGAGTGAGAGCTAGTGCTCATTGGCGGTATGAAATCTAAACTACACCCAACAATCTATACCACATGAATGCACACCGAGTAGTCAATAGTGAGAACAGTTTCCCATTTTCAAAGGGGTACGCCAAGAAGCAAGAAGACACAACCATGCCGCTTTACGTTATAGCATGGATATTACTGGGCAAAGTGCTCACTTTCTTAGAAAACGCCTAATGAAAATGGGACAACTCTCTAGCCCAAAACATTTACGTATTGGAGTTTAAACCATCCAACTGCAGTGTCATACATGTGAGGCACCTGCTGTTTAACAGCGGTGAACACGAGAATGACAAGCAGCGCGAATTTTCGTGAACGGACGGGAGTCAAGCCCAAATGGTTTGAGCTGCCGAAAGGTTTTATTGTGCCAACTACAACTCGTGCATCAGAGTCGGACCGATCCAGCTATCCTGATCTAGCAACCCATTACGGGAAAATTAACAATGAAGCGTTGTTAAAGATATAAATGAGAGACATCAGCTGAAGAAAATGAAAGAACAATTGTAGAATGCATAGACATAAGACCACCTGATCTTCAAAGCCGAGTTATCGAAATAGTATAGCGCTCATTCTGATGATGTCTATCAATTCGCCTAGTAGACCGAAAACTGGATGATGCATCGCAAGTTGCACCTCTTAAGGTGCACGGAACGAACAAAATCAAGACAAGGAGACCGCCACGCATTGAGTAAGTAAGCGTTTTCAGAGGGCTTGAGTAAAGAATGCTGTACAGAATGATGTTTGAAAACTGCGTCCATTGAAAAGTGCGCAGGTTACGAAGTGAGCACACTACAAATAGTGGACCACATACTCAGTTAAACACCAAGAAATAACATATGTGCCCAAAGCGGTGCTCCGTGTGGAAGGAGAAAGGCACCATTGATGCCACGGGAAAGAGCATACAGGCTTGAAGAACGGTAGTTTTCCGGGTTTTTCGAACTAAAGGTTCTTAAGTGTTACGCAATATTGTCCCTTCTTCTAGATGGCAATTTGCGTCGGCCCGTAGCCTAAAGGTAACGAGCTTGTCTTGTAAGCTGACGGAGCGCGTTCGAGCCTGCGTAGGGTCAAGGCGACCCTCGCTGTATCCATAGCCCGCGTATGACCGGTGGTGATTGCGTGGCAGCGAAGCGTCCGTACTGCGCACCGGCGTAATATTGATGCCTTTCAATTTGCAGTTCTCGCGGATGTCACCCACTTTGGATAGGAGCGATCAAGTTGCGCCTAGTTCATCCACCACCGGGCATTTCGACGTCGCTTTTGTGTCTAAAAATATATTTGTCCACACAGCTTTGCGAAACGTTAAGTAAAGTTACAAGAGAATTTTTCATGCCTTCAGACTAAAAACATTTTCATCTGTCGTGCATTCGTTAATTGGTGATTATAATGTTATCCGGTTATTCTCCCTGGCCTTCTTAAAGAGAAAGAAAACTTTAGCGTGTCATCGATAAAGCTGGTTGTACAGGGATTCTCTTATTGGCCCTTTCGTTAATACGAGCATGGAGGGATGTAGTACTTTTCTTCTGAGTTCCACATGACTCGCTTCAACCGATACATGCGGATCTGTCGAAAATGTCGTCTTTCCTGTGCATTCAACTGCATCTTACTTACTTCTTACCGTATCTGTCATACTGTAAGCCAAGTCAACGAAAATCCTCAGCATGATGCCCGAGCATTCGTTTGGTCACAAGGGGAACGATTACTAGTTAACCTTTCACTTAAGTATTTTCGTTAATGGCCTTCTGTACATCCGCACTAATGCCGACGTATAGTCACGTCGACTTTCGGATCCTTGCTATGCTGCCACCACAGCGTGCGGAAGGCTTTGTTTGAGGGCCGTAGGCGCTCTGATGTTAGCCCGGCGGTCAAAATAGTGATGTATTATTGCAACAAACATAAATCGTCGAAATGAACCACCAGTCCAACTCGTCAGTATTTGCTGATTCACCAAGTGGGAATGGTAACATAACTTTACACACCAATGATCAACAGAAGTCGACTGGTTACAGCGGCACCGTTATAATATGCATGCACCAGAACAGATGGAATCAAAACATATGCACTAATAGCAAACAGTAACCTAAGGATAGTTGTCTCACAGAGTAGAGTTCTCGTACGGAAACGACGGATGTTCAGCAACACCGTAAGCAAAAGCCGCATCAAAAGCACAAGGCATCATTGCATGAACATAAATCTTAAACAGAGTAGGAGTTAAGACACAGCCTTGCTTCACACCAGAGATAACTGCCAAGTCATCCGAGGTATGTCCACTCAACTGCACACGCACCCACAAACCACTGTGCAGATATTCAATAAAACTTACAAACTTATTCCGATAACCAAACTTACCCAACATTAGCCACAATGCCTCGCGGTTCACCGTATCAAATGCTTTGGTGAAATCAACGAAAACCGAGTACAATGGCTGGTGTCGTTCTCTACACTTCTCCTGCAACTGACGAGCCGCAAACATCATATCTCTAGTGCTGCGATCCAAAGGGAATCCCCACTGCTCTTCCGCCATGTTAGGTTCCACAACCTGACTGACGAGGCGGTTGAGCAGGATCCGGGCAATCACCTTGCCCATACAAGTCGGCAAGTTGATACCATGATAATTCGTGCAACATTGCTTGCTTCCTTTGCCCTTACACAGAAGCAGCACAAGGGTATCCTTCAGCTCAGGAGGCACCTCCTCCTTAAGCCAAACGCGTTGCACCAACTGGTGCAGCATATTTATCAACGCGGGTCCGCCGTGTTTCGATATTTCAGGCGGTATCTCGCCAGCACCGGCACACTTGCTGTTTCGCAGCTCAGCAAGTGTTCTCTGCATCTCATCCAGTGTCGGTGTGTCCGCCAGACTCCCCTTCACATCGTGCTGATTTAGACAGTTTAATGTAAGCCAGCCCCTCTCCGAACGGTTGTTCAAGAGACGGCCGAAGTGATTTCGCCAGATCTGTATTATGTCTGCAGTCTGTGTGTACGCAGCGCCTGAGCTGCCATCGAACAGCGTCATCAGTGGCTCCAACTTCGGTCCATACACCGCCGTCAAGGAGTCAAAGAATTCCTTGTGCCGGCGGCGTTCGGTGTAGCATTCCATCTGCTTCGCTTTCTCCGTCCACTATGCATTTTTAACACGACGGAGCTCCCGGGTCAGTCGTCCTCGAATTCTGCGAAGCTTACTCTTCTTCCCTAATTCGATGGGGTCTGTCACATGTGACACCAATGCGCATTGCTCTCGTCAAATCAATCAGGTAGCTTACAGTCTATGCGCCCGATTGTCTCCTCGATAGCAGCTATCACCTGATCGCGAATGTGGTGCCACAGGTCGCCCACTGCGGCTATGCAGTCCACATCGCACATGGATGCAGCCATCACCAGCACAATAAGTTTCGCCACACTACCGAGGGAATGTTAAATTCACACTGATTCACGGCGGGAGTGAAATACATAGATTTACGAAAATATATGTACAGTTTGGTCCGAACCAATTTCTGATCAGTGTCATACTCAGCTCCACGCAGTACACGTGTCATGCGCACTTTACGCATATCACGCTGACATACGATGACATAGTCGAGCAGGTGAGCGTGACCACTCCGTGGGTGCGTTCAAGTTGCTATATCACTCGCACTCAGTGCAAACCAAGTGTTCGTAGTCGTTAGGCCGTGAGCGGCATACAGTTAGAGCAGCCTGTCACCGTTCGCATTTGTTGAACCCATGCTATGCGGATGGATAACTGTCCACACCGATGCATCACGCCCAGCACGCGCTGAAATCACCCAGCAGAAATAGTTGGTCGCTCATCGGCACAGACCGTATCACGGAGGATAAATGAGTGTAGAATCGATCACGCGTGTCATCAGGATAACACATGATCGGACGGTACGTGCTTGTAAAAGTGTCAAACTTACCTCTTCCGAGTCGTAGGTGAACAGTCATCAGTCGCGCGCTGATGCCTTTGGGTTCATCCACCAAATGGCCACTTAGGCGATCGCATATTGTAAATCCCACCCCATGTTCACGTGGTGCTGTGGTGACGTTCCCCACCTAGTAGAATCTATAGCCAGCACCAGCTTCATGCAACTTATCTTGCTCAGCGAGCCGGGTCTCACTAAGCGCCGCAATATCGACGTTGTAGCGTGCCCGCTCCATCGCGACCAGTGCAGTGCGTCGCTCAGGGCGCTCACTCGAGTTCCGGTACAGTAGTATGCGCACGTTCCAGCACCCGATGATGAGCGCTTTGCACGCAGTCATACGATTGCATTCGTGGGCAATCGCAAGGGAGGTGGTGGTTGTGTTTTGGAGGCTTGCTTGAAGAACTCCGCCCGGAGCCTTTGGCTCAGTAGCCTGACCCACAAAGCAATGGGGAGCAGATCCGGCTCTAGGGTATGATTGCAGATATATATATATATATATATATATATATATATATATATCGCAGCGTTTGTAGGTACGATGCATTCGATATACTAACCGCGTGCTTGCCTGCTAAGTCTCCCTATTTCAGGTGGTGGGTTTGCAATTTTGTCCTAATGCCTTTCTTTCTCATATAAATGTATAGCAATACTCTCTTGTATAAACTTGCACACGTCGCATAAGCCAATTGTAGTTAATTCCGATAACATTTTCGTGTTTGTGGCATTTCCGTAAAATATACTTTCTGACCTCGTGAACTTATCTCCGATTCGTTTATAAACAACTTATTTCATATGCTCACTAATTTAAGATGTATGTCACCGTTTTCTTATGCATTACTCGATGTATGTTATTTGTTAACCTTCTCTCAAGTGATTGGCTGTTGCTTGATATGCCCGGTGTGGATGCGCTTGATGTGCATGT